AAAAAAAAAAACCTTGTAAAAGGGGACCTTCTAAAATAAAAGTGCAGCTGTGTGAAGACCTTAGTTTGGTGGGGTGGACAATATCAAACATAAGAGGAAGAGATACAGATAAGGAACTTGCTTGGGAAATTATAGAGGACAGACGTAAGTTTGCTACTTTGTCTCAGTTGAATTGTCACATGCACACACACAAGAGAGAGAGAGAGAGAGAAAGTCACAGATATGTTGAAATGACAGGTTTTACAGTTGTCTGGTTAGATTCCTGTGCCTGGAAGAAAACTATCAAACTCACACACACCAATGTGATCTGTGTCTAGTGTCCTTTAACACAATGAAAAACAAGTACAGAGCTAGCTGACTAACCTACATTTCCCTTTGGCTGCAAAGAAAATAGATAAACCAGTTAAATACTTTTGATAATGTTTAATCATGTAAACTGTTTCAAAGTGATGTCCTCTAATAATAAATCTCTTTTCTTTTTTTCCATAAAAGAGAGTCTCTTAGATTTGCAAAAAAAAGGTTAGCATGTTGCTAAGCTATTGACACAAATTAAATTAAAATCAATTTAAACCATACAATATAATTAAACTAGAACTAGAAATGCACTTTTTTCAGTTTCAGTCAAAAAAAAAATCCAACTGAAAATCTTTGCATAAATCATGTACAAAACGGGTTTACGTTTACTTCCAATAAAAGAATGTTTCACAAAGAAATAAGCAGTGCGCATGTAAAAGATCCAGGTTTCATTTAATGTAATGAAAATTTAAAGTGCTCCTATTAAGCTATTTGAAAGGTTCATAATTTGGTTTTGGGAGTCCCCAACAACAGGTTTACATGCAAGGTCAAATTTTCTTTAATATGCATTTAATTTGACGTTATTTCTAAACGACTCTCAAAGGATTCGTTAGAAGATTCATCTTTCCAAACCCCTCCGTTGCATGAGGCTGCTCTGCTCTGATTGGTCCGATGACCTGATGTCTGTTGTGATTGGTCTACTGCGAACAGCGCATGTCACAAACGGAACACCCATCACCAGTACTGGAATATGGCTTATCAGTAATACACCCTATTATAATAATAATAGTGCTCCACATCTGTTCTAAAAAGAAAGAATCAGTTGTTTTACACTTATGTTAGCGAACCGGACTTGGTAGTAAAGACCCAAACAATAATGGTATATGTGTTAGCCAAACACAGACATAGAGTACTGATAAAGCACTGCAGTTTGTAAAACAATGTATTGCTCCATCCTTTATCGTGACTCCAAGTACAACATGCATTCTATATGAAAATAAACTAAATTCACTTTCACAGCACAGAGCACAGCGTCTTCTCGACATTACGTTATCTACACGAACAAGCTACACCTTTTGATGTTTGTTTTCACAGGATATCCAAGCAGAACGTAGGTGGGCATTATGCAAATGTCAGAATTTGTGATGTGTGAAATTCGCGGAAATGGGATTTGAATTTAAAACTACTCGTTTCAGTGGTTCAGAGTCGACTCTTTCTTTTGAGACACAATAACTTTATTTATGATGTACTTTCAGCTTTGCAGACAGTTTACATTCACATTCAGCTACATTACTCACTGCATGAAAGGTCATTTTCAAAAATCCATAATAGGGCACTTTAATTGATGATTTGGAATTGAAATGAAATTATTTTGATTCATATAGAATTCTCTAAGCAAATATTAAATTGCTTTAATACTAAACGTTTTAGAAAGTATAGCTTGAAAAGGTTTATAACAACCAATAATGAATAGCACATCTAAGAATGCAAAGTCTGAATGGAGTCAACATTTCAATACAATACTGGCTTTGCAGGCACTGTATAAACACTTAATGAACAATAGCACATGTGGTTTAGAATGGAGCAGGAAGAGATTTTGTCTTCCTAACATGATTAACATAACATGATTCAAAAAACATCTTCCTGTACAAACACATATGCTAGCTATCAAATGGAAACATTCCATAGACTTGTATTATTTTTCTATACAGCTAGTTATAAATACTTTGTGCATTTTAACAGTTTTAAAAATCTTTATTTGCTCAATTTTTAGACCGTTTTTGCTAATGAGGATGTCCCCAAAGTGAGGTTTGGTCAGATTTAACTAATTTCAGTGAACATATTTGCCACCAAAATATGGTTAAGTCAGTACGCATACACATTAAAAACCTGAAAAAAGTAATAATAATCTTTGATCATAACTCAAGGCAAGCACACACACAGCTCTACCCTAAAAGCAAACACACATACACAGGACTAATTGGAATGTGTAAAACCACCTTAAGCAAGCGTGCAGTGTGTGTGTGTGTGTGTGTGTGTGTGAGAGTTAGGATTGGTTTATAGAATTAAAATTAGCCTATTTAAAGAAAACTGGGTGTGAATGTAAACTACTAACATGGATATGAACACAAGCTTGCTGGTTTTTTGTGTGTGGGATCATGTGTGGGATATGATAATCCACATTACTTTGAAGACACACCAGCATATGCTAATCGCTCTCACTGGTCATGTGAGTGTTGTTATTGAGGAATTGGAGTGTGTGTGTGTGTATGTGCGTGTGTGCGAGTGTGTGTGTGTGTGTATGTGTGTGTGAGTGTGTGTGCGCATGTGTAAGTGTGTGTGTGTGTGTGTGTGTGTAGTGCACGGGTGGGCTGCACAGATGCCTTATGAGTAACCCATGACTACATGTGATCTGGTGCACACTTCAGATCAGGTCATTGCTAGCATATGTCTCTGTGTTTTATATTTTTCATAAGATGATTTTAGATGAATCATAAGAATCTGTTCTCTAAAGACTGGAGTAATGATGCTGAAAATTCAGCTTTGCCATCACAGAAACAAATTACATTTAGCAATAAATTAAAATAGAAATCAGTTATTTTAAATTGTAATAATATTTCACAATATTGCTGTTTTTACTGTATTTTTGATCAAATAAATGCAAATTATTTTAGTGAAAATATTAGACTTATGAGAAATTAAAAAATCTTATTGACCCCAAAATTTTGAATGGTGGTGTATCTGAGCATTTTTTCAAGCAGTGCTTTAATTAATAGATCATCATATTTAGTCTGAGCCAGCTCATTTTTTAAAGTTTTTCAACCAGCAGCGGCAGCATGATCATGTGATCACAGCTTACTGAAGTCACAAGGCACTTTATGGTTGTCTGTAGAGTCTGAAAAGCTGGCATACTGCTGACAGCACATCAGATGGTTCATATGACGATAAATTAATGTGGGAGCGGTAAAAAAATTTGTGCTGATATAAGTCAAACATGTTCTCACAATGCTTACATGAATGTAATTATATCACATTACACAAATGTTAGGACAAGAAGCTGGGTGGAGGTCATCAGGATTCAGGATACGTGAGATATGAGATGAGGCAATCAGAATCATAAAGATTTATGGAGATGTTTATTGTTGCTTTAGTGCTATAAACTGGTCTTAATGAAAAGCTTATTGATGCTTAATACTGTTTATAGGTCATGATATGTTCATCTAAAAGCTTAGTGCCTTCTTTTCAAAGCACAACAGCACACTAACAAACACAGTTACGTTCTAGAAAGAAAGTCACAAGTTTGATCTTTTTAAATGACTCCTGCTTCTTTTACTACATCGTTCAATATATATATATATATATATATATATATATATATATGTGTGTGTGTGTGTGTGTGTGTATACTGTATATATATTGAACAGTATCTTATATATCTTTATGATATGTCTTATGATATATCTTTACATTTTACATTAGTATAATATGTTTATACATATAAATATATAACCCAATGTATAAACAGAAAAAAAAATCAGGTAGTTGGTTTTGACTTGACATATAGCGTATAATGCTTTTCTGTATATATGCGAATAAAGTTGGATATTAACTTTATATATAGAGCTGCACCATAAATTCAGTTTGATTCACACACGGATAAAACTTAATTTAAAATGAATTTACATTTAAGAACTTACTTGAGTGCTAGTGATATTTTGGGAAACACCCAATAAATGTGTGAAAAAAACAAACACAAACACACACACACACACTCACACACAAACAGTCTGGTGCACTATCCTTGTAGGGACTCTCCATAGACGTAATGGTTTTTATACTGTACAAACTGTATTTTCTATCGCCCTACACCTAAACCTACCCCTCACATGAAACTTTGTGCATTTTTACAATCTCAACAAAAACTCATTCGGTATGATTTATAAGCTTCTGTACCCATGGAGACCTCAATTTAGGTCCCCACAGTGACAAAAGTCCCCATGAGTTGGTGTGTATTCAGATTTAAGTCCTCACCATTGTAGAAAAACATGTACACACACACACACACAGACACACACACACACACACACAGACGCAGTCCAGCTCTGTATGCTGGCACACATTTTATCTTGTTGATGCAAAAATGAAACATTAATGTCTGAATAAGGTTGTTCTTTTACAGCATGTTAAAGTGTGTGAAATCTATTGAACACAGGGATTCTCACCCAACCAACACCACTATGCTAACAGATTTGTTCAGCTCTGCAGTTGTTGCATTTTCCAGCACGTGTAAAAAGACTGGCGATATGTGTCCATCATGATTATATATTGTACAGTATTGTGACTGCAGTTGGCTCACCAAGGTAGCAACAGGATCGAAATGAATATGTATATTTCTCTGACTCTTTATTATAACCAAATAAATTTAGGAAGCTAAGAAAGTTAACCCAGGGTTTAAGAATTGACAGTGTCAAACATTGAATTGATTTTTTTTATAGCATCTAGTCACCGTTCACTTTCATTATATGCAGAAGTGTAGCATGAACATCCTTCTTAACATCTACATGAGAAATGTGCTTCTTGTTGTTTGTTTTTTCAGCTGAAAAACCGTGCTGATGGTCCTTTAGAAAACTGCACCAATGTTATGTGTCATGTCAGTATGCATGCCGTTATTCTGAGGATAATAGCTCTCTCTTTTTCTCTCCCAGTTAATGAGTACCTGTTCATGGTTCAGGCCCGTGGAATCCAGATCCGTGAGAATGTGAGGAACATGGGAGCTCAGGTTCTTGAGCAGATGGTCCGCAGTGCCTACAACACCACCGGCACAGGTACGATATACTCCTGATATATAACACCACCGGCACAGGTACGAAATACTCCTGATATCATTGTTATGAAGAGCAGAGAACAGACCACTTATCTCGCTTCCTATGGAACATCCCGTCGGCAGCAATGACATATCCTCAGGAAATGAAGGCATTATATCCTTCTGAGACCCACCAAAATAAGCAAATTAGTTGGAAGACACTTTAGCAAATAATGTTTTTCATTCATAAAACAAGGTTAAAATTTAAGCCAGTGTTCAACTTTAACATACTTTGCAACACCGATTCAATGAAAATGTTTAATAAGATGTATAAAAAACATGTTTGTATTGTGTTGTTGAATGTACACTTGTAAACGTATAACTACAACAAAACCAAAAGAGGGAGTTTTCATGGCCAAACCCCCAAACAGGGTGGGATTTAGGATACATATTGTATATATATATACAATAAAAAACCAATGGGCAGAAAAGAAATGCTGAGTCTTGGGAAGACATTTGGGGTCTGTCATGTTTTACTGTGTGAATGTTTGATTCTCTTATTTTCTAGACTATACATATGAGTTTAACTTAAGTGAGACAGATGTTCCCACCACTCCTTACCTCCCAGAGGGCTTCACATACATGCCTGATCAGGTCTGCCCGGAGAAACTGCCCTCCATGAGTAAGTGCAGAAACGTAATGTTTCTTTCGGTACTCTTGGGGAAGCATGCTTCAGAAGCACTATATGATCATTTCCGTCAGTGAGTGAGTTGTTAAAGCTGATAAGAGTCATTTCATTAATGAGAATCCTCCGGTTGCACTTTGCATTTGTTGATGAAAGAATGCAGCCGTTGAAGAACCATTGACAGAACCAGAAAATCATCCATCCTATGTCACCCTGAAGGGGGTTATTTCACAACAATGAACAGACATTAAATATTACATGGCTACCAAATAAAAACTAAACGCACTTGAAGTATTTGAAAGTGGTTTTGGAATAGAGCTTGTACAGCTTTGTTTCTGGTGTCGCTAGCTGTAATTACAATGAATGTGCTCACAAAGCTCACATAAATGCTGGTATGATTAACAGCAGTTATTACCATATGCGTGTTCTCTCTTCTTGTCTGTCAGAGGGCCAGCTGAAGGTGAACATGAGTGAGTTCGCTCTAGAGGAGGTGGAGAAATTTCTGAAGAAGGCAGATCCAAGTCTGTCACGCGGGGGCCACTGGAAACCGCACGACTGTCTCCCACGCTGGAAGGTTAGTCACTTGTACTTGCTGCTGCTGTCAGACTTTGAAAATAAAAAACCCTGCTATCTCTTACCTGTTTCTGTGTGTGTGTGTGTGTGTGTGCGTGCGTGCGCGTGCGTATGTGTGTGTGTGTGTGTGTGTTTGATTGTGTGTGTGTCTGTGCATGTGTGTGTGTATGTTTTGTGGTTGTGGTCTGAGGGGCAGAAAAGGCTCTGTTGCAAGATGAGTCGAGGCTCCCAGTAAAGTCTGTTATTTTTTAAACGCCTGTCATTTGCTTCTCTTTGTGTAGCTATATACACTGGGACCCAGTAGTCATACGTTTTCATTTAGATGTAAAATGCTTCTGTTGAAAACAATTGTTTCCAAATTGAAATGTTTTATGCAAGAAGCAGAAGAATATTTTTTTTTAATTAAATAGTATATTCTTCAATATAGTAATACACATATTGCTACACGTCAGACAAAATCTCTTTTCTAAGGCAATTTAAAGCACATATGGGACAGTAAAATTGTGATGAAACCGTTTAGTCATTGAATCAGACTTAGGAAACAATTAAAATGGATAAAATGACAAATGCATGGAAATTAATCAAACTCTTATAAATATATATATATATATATATATATTTGCATTTGTGAATTTTAAATAAGATACAACATTGGGACAACCTTTAAAAAACATCTAATAAAAAGTGTGCCAAAATCATGAAGATATTTACAATGGTGGTTATTAAAAAAATAAAAAATAATATATATATATATATATATATATCCATCTTTAAATATTCGATATTTTTCACCCAGCCCTGACACACACACATACAAATACGTCTTAAATATTTGAATGTCTGTAGCAGTAATAGAAATGTGGGCATCTTTGACACTGAGAACTGATCTTTCCTCATTTTTGCAGTCATTTTGCTATTTCATGTGTTTTAGGTGGCCATCTTGGTTCCTTTCCGTAATCGCCATGAGCACCTTCCCATACTTTTCCGTCATCTGATCCCAGCACTGCAGAGGCAGAGACTGCAGTTCGGCTTCTATGTCATTGAACAGGTCAGGAAAAGGAAAGTTGTCACACTGTATAACCTTCTGTGGCTCAAGTATCCAAATTCTTTTTACAGCAACTGTACAAATTTATATAGTGCAAAAACTGTTTGTGCAGTATTGTAGTAGGTTACGCTATTCTGACCCATAATATTTGGACTGTCACACCATTTGTCAAGCTATTCTAAATTGTCCCATTGAAACACAGCCGAACATAAGATTGCTTTTACATAAGATTGCTTAAATAAGATACAACATTGGGACAACCTTTAAAAAACATCTAATAAAAAGTGTGCCAAAATCATGAAGATATTTACAATGGTGGTTATTAAAAAAATAAAAAATAATATATATATATATATATATATATCCATCTTTAAATATTCGATATTTTTCACCCAGCCCTGACACACACACATACAAATACGTCTTAAATATTTGATGTCTGTAGCAGTAATGTCTGTAGCAGTAATAGAAATGTGGGCATCTTTGACACTGAGAACTGATCTTTCCTCATTTTTGCAGTCATTTTGCTATTTCATGTGTTTTAGGTGGCCATCTTGGTTCCTTTCCGTAATCGCCATGAGCACCTTCCCATACTTTTCCGTCATCTGATCCCAGCACTGCAGAGGCAGAGACTGCAGTTCGGCTTCTATGTCATTGAACAGGTCAGGAAAAGGAAAGTTGTCACACTGTATAACCTTCTGTGGCTCAAGTATCCAAATTCTTTTTACAGCAACTGTACAAATTTATATAGTGCAAAAACTGTTTGTGCAGTATTGTAGTAGGTTACGCTATTCTGACCCATAATATTTGGACTGTCACACCATTTGTCAAGCTATTCTAAATTGTCCCATTGAAACACAGCCGAACATAAGATTGCTTTTACATAAGATTGCTTTTTTTTTTTTAAGTAGTGGTGAGAGTAAAGGTAAAGGAAAGAAAGTTGAATGTTTGTGTGTGTCCACAGGCAGGGAATGAACCGTTCAATCGTGCCATGCTGTTTAATGTCGGTTTCAAAGAGGCCATGAAGGACTTGAACTGGGATTGTGTGATATTTCACGATGTTGACCACATTCTGGAAAATGACCGCAACTACTATGGATGTGGTGAAATGCCAAGACACTTTGCGGTCAAACTCAACAAGTACTCTTACATGTACGTTTTCATAACACACTGCTTTCTCTGTATGTATGATGTTTGGTTGTGAATAAAGATTCGGATCTCTCCGAACCTGCAGGCTTCCGTATGAGGAGTTCTTTGGTGGTGTGAGTGGGCTCACCGTGGAGCAGTACAGGAAGATAAATGGCTTTCCCAATGCATTCTGGGGCTGGGGAGGGGAAGACGACGACCTTTGGAACAGGTACGAAGTTGAAATTTTGAAACTGTTAACAGGATTTTGCAACGCAATGATCTCATGTCTTTTCACTCCCACAAAAGTGGTCTAGCAGCCGGTTTACTGTAAAAGACGATAATAATGCTTCCTGGACTGGACTGGACTATCTGGATCCCACTAAATGTTTAATACGTACTATAAAAGGAATGATTGCCAATGGACGTTAAAGGTGCGCTCAGTAATTTCCCCTCAATTAAGATGGATTTCACACACAAAAAAACTAAAATTGTGCTTTTGAAAAACATGATTTCCAAAGCTTAATTAAAAAGCAAAGTGCTTCATGAGTGCTACTCTTAAAAATAAGTACATTTTAAGTTATTTTTATTAAGTAAAGTTCAAGTATATTTTCATGTAGTAAGTATACTAAAATCAATGTTCTGCTAGTATATTTGTATCATCCCAACATCATACTTATAGTTTATTCACACCATGGAAGAATTGTCAGTAAAATCAGCTAAATGAAGATCTGTCTGTACAAAAAAAAAAAAGGATCAGGTTCAGTTCCACCAACACACTATTCAATTATTCCAACCAAAAGCTGACTTATTACTATAAACTAGAACAAGTTTATGAGATAGTATGTAAAACATATGCTGGAGTACGTTACATAGGTTACTCTGTCAAAAGAGTAAACAAAACTCGGAATATGAAAAGATCAAAAGATTAAGTACAAGTATAGGCCAAATATATTGCTCTGATTACTTATCAGTATACAAGCCAAGTACACATAAGTATAAATTCGCTAAGTATTTGTCATATAAAAAGAAGAATTGTTGTTTTAAGAAGTATACTGAAGTATACTAACAACCCTGTAGAATAAACGTCTTTTTTGTAACGGCAGCCAAATACCACAGTACTCCGCGTACTACAGCCTTGGGTAAGCCACCTATTATGAAACACATCCGTACATAGAGTAAATTCATCGTGGATGATTGTGAATAGTGAATTTCGTCATCTGTAACCAAAAACTATTTGCTTCTGCATGATATTGCATCTATGCAGTATAGTTTGCATCGTAAATAGTTAATTTAGTAAATATTGTAAATAGTCCTTCACTTCTTGCAGTGAATTGGAACATAGTTGACACTTACATGTGTTTTTTTCCAGGGTTCAGTTTGCTGGCTACAAAGTGAGTCGGCCTCATGGAGACATTGGTCGTTACATGTCTATACCACACCACCACCGCGGGGAAGTCCAGTTTCTGGGCCGGTAAGATGAGAACAGCCCTTTCGAAATATTTCTTTTACCATATTTCAGACGACATCCTGAGCACATGCAGTCGTCCTCCAAGTGCACACTTTGGTGACGTCGTATGAATTGTTGGGTACTAGAATGCAACGGTTCTTACATAAACAATTATTACGTAAATTGTTGCATTGAATTGAATTTCATGAAAAAGGCCCGATCTTTCGTAAGATTATGCCTTATTCATGAAACAGAACAAATTTCTGAAAGCAACAGTTTGCACGCGATCAGATCATTCAACATACAAGCACCAAAACAATCCATTTAAACTGTTTGTAAAATCATATTTACGTACATTTTTGGTAATACTTTATTTTAGGGGTCAGTTCTCACTGTTAACTAGTTGCTTATTAGCATGCATATTACTAGCATATTGTCTGTTTAATAGTACTTATAAAGCACATATTAATGTCTTATTCTGTATGAGCATATACTAGATCCCTTAATCCTACACATACCTCAACTTAACAACTACCTCACTATTAATAATAAGCAAATTAGGAGTTTACTGAAGCAAAAGTCATAGTTAATAGTTGGATGCCAAACTAAAGTGTGACCAAATATGGTTTTATGAATGAGGCCCAGTAGTTTTACGGACATTCATTCTGCTCATGTTTCATGAATAAAGTCCAGTACATTACAATTAGTTCTGCTCGTGTTTCATTAACGGGCTGAAAGGCAAGGCCAAACGAGTTTTTGACAGGTTGCTGAAAACACATTTTCTCCTTTTGTTTTTCAGATACAAGTTGCTCCGTAGATCCAAGGAGAGACAGAGCCTGGACGGCCTGAATAACTTGAATTACTCCCCTCTAGTGTCCCGGAAGAGTCTGTACACTAATGTGTCATTGACGCTCAGTCGAGAGCTGGCCCCTGTCGCCGATTACTGACATCACACAAGGGACGGGCAAGAGAGACCCACACCACATGCTACACCACCATTTTTATAAGTCATTTTTTTAGGAAGGGGAGGGGATTTCACAAATCTTTTAATACTCAGTGCATTTTTTTTTTCTTTCATTTTTATATATAGTTTTTTTTTCTACTTAATTTTTTAAGCTAATTTGATCACATTTGTGTTTATTTTCCTTTGTTACTCATCAACTGTCTGTCTATCATGTGAATGGATCAGTTCTGGAATCCAAAACCCCAACTGCAGGTTTACTCTCGTCGGACCAGTCAGATCCGACATGTGGTGTGTCTTCTAATCAGACTTCGCCTGGGGGGGAAGTCGCATGTTTACAGCATGAATGAGAAAAGCTATTGAACAAGTTAATGGCAATTATGCTAAACGACTTCAGAATAGCCATTGTAGGAGTTGAGGGACATGCCCTTTTCTCTGCCAGAAACAAGCACAGCTGGTTCTGTGCATTAGAATATAAACTAATAAATGCAGATTTATTAAAGAGATTTATTAAATTATCAATAAATAAGCATGCACTGATACTTAGAGTAGATGCTACTAACATCACGGCTTTAAGTGGGAGTATTCGCTCATGAAACGTGGAAATTCATACCCTCAATCATTTTAGCTGTACAATACAAACGTGCTCATCTACCGCAGCACAGTTTTTAGACGTATTCAACACAAAGAGATTTCTCGACATTAGAATGACCCCATGAAATGGCTTGAAAAGCACAGCATCCTTTCCTGTGTTCATGTATTTTCCAATAAAACAGGGCGTTGGGGCATATCAAAGGGCTTATACCTTTTTTAAATGGCCAGTAGCTTTAAATTTATGATTTGCTACTTGTCATTTCTAGTCAGAGGCAAGCGGTATTGAGTGGGGGATATTCAATTAAATTAAATTAAAATGGCACAGAAGTGCAAGATTAGTCATCTATATTTATGGGCCGTTTTCCCTGAAGAGATATTTCGATTTTTACTGTCATTTGGATCGGTTTATCTGCTAAAAGTGAGTTTTCTCAATTCTTGGGAGTACACCAGCATGTCAGACCTAATAGATGTGGACTAGAAGCCACAAAATTAGTTCTAACAACCGTATACAAACCACTGCAATGCCAGCAAAATGCGCCTCGGACTGAAAGGTCACGCATTTTTGCTCCAACACTGGAATATGTGTCATTGGAACTAGAATAGATTTGGGATCCTAGTTTTAGGATTTGTCATATTTATGTGGGTCTGCTGGTTATTTAAACCACTGGATTGTTTGTCAAACAAGCATTCTGTTGTTTGTGCTAACAGAAGTGTTTTTCCATTAGTTCATGCTTACGTTGCGTAGAGAAGTGTTTCCCATGCATTGCCCTTCACAGTCAAATCAACATGCTTTGCATTCTGAGCAGTATGCTGTTGCCTCACTGCGTGTGTAGTCACCTCACCTCATGTGAGTGGGTTAGAAAACTCAGTTCAGCTATAAAGATTTACTAGAGCCAATATTTGACATTTTTTTAATTTTGAGTGTTGTTGCCTCCTGAACTGAATTTGAACAGACTGTGCAACTCTATTAGACCAAACACATTTTGGGCCTCATTCATGAAACTGCATTCAACAACGTCCATTCAAGAAATGTGTAGAAACACGTGCAAGTCGTTCAAGAAATATGACGTGACATTCGTGAAAGCAGACTGAATTTCTGCATCATCATTCATAAAAACATTCTAGCGCAATTCGACGCATTGATATTTATGAACAACTTGCACAGAAATTGGTTTTATAATACCCTGAGATACAATGTCCACGTCAGTCATTTATGAATCATAAATGAGGCCCTTTGCTTTCACTCTCACCGTAAGAGCACATTCTCATTACACGCGTTTATGTCGTTTAGAGATCTTAGGGGCTTCGTAATGCGTATTTGTGAGCGTGTTCGTGTGCATTCTTCATATCGGAGAGGCTGGCCCTCGTATTTATTCATTCTTTTATGAACATATTTGTTTTTTTATTAGTTTTAGTTCATTTTTACATATTTCTATCTTGTTTTACTGTAATTGTGATTATTTTGAGGGAAACGGATCAAGTTAGATAACTGTGATGTAAAAACAAGCACTGAAATATGTTATGGCATACAATGTGAGGCTGATCTTGGGAAGAGAGTCTGTTGCTGTTAAACTGAATGGACGGCTGTTTCGGATGATGACACGAGAGAACAGAGACTGTTCTTGAGCGCCCGCCCAGATAACCAATGGTGCTGACCTCACAGACATTAGAACTGTGCTGCCGTGGTACTTTTGTCTTGTAACAGATAATTCGACGAGATTGAAACTAATTACACTCTTGCCTCATTGACCTCGGCAGCGTAATCTATCTGTGTAGCAGGTAAATTGTGTTTAGCTGGATGTGCGCTCAAGCAGATTTTTCTAATGTTTGATTCTCTCTGTGTTTGACGCTCATGGAGTTTTGCTCCAATGTTTGGGGTCTTTTTTTTACTCATTTAATTAAAGATTAGTACTCTCACACCAAACCTGGTGCAATATGACTGGATTCCAGCACGATGCTGCAGAGTTAAAAACCAACAAAGTGTCCTTTTGCTTGTCAAGTTTGGTTTGGAATAAGAACTTGTTGCTGTATTGCACATCTAAATACACTTTAAAGTCTCAATTAGAGTTATATGTTTAGTGTCAGGAACAGGTTTTATTTTGTTGAATCAAAAGTCTGTTGCACCTGCTGGGTTTATTTAACCTCCATATATATATATGCACTCTAAAAAATGCTGGGTTGTTTCGACCCAACGTTGGGTCAAATACTTTTGGGTTAAAACTTTAATTAAAAAATGTAACCCAACAGCTGGGTTAGTCCATATTTGACCCAATGTTGGGTTGGGTTGGATTTTTTAGAGTGTGTATATATACTGATCTCAAGTCAGAAACTCTTGCCCTATTTTTTTTACGGGCCCCTTCATTGGCAAACTCCAGTCCATTATATAATCCATTCTGCTCCAGTTGAAATGACAGGGAGAGCAGCAATCCACCCCTTGAACAACTGGCTGCCTTAAAACCTGTTAATTTATTCAATATATTAATGTTTTTATTTTTTATAAGCAAAAATATTTAACTATGTTAATGTGTTTTTTTCACTTGTGCAAAATGTTTTTAGGCATACAAAGGCATATAAAGGAACTTCAAAGATGGACTTACTATTAACAAAGAATTTGGAGCCCTTTAGTCAGGCAATGATTTGGTGCCATTGACCTCTCTGTAAATGCCATAAGCTGTATTTTCTATTCGCTCCGAAATTATTATTATTATTTTTTTAAATCATAACAGGCCTTAAATACTGTTTTTAGGATAATTTGTGATGATGAAGATGTTCCTCTATGACATTATCATGTCTTATTAAGATGTTTTGTCGGCCAAACACACAAATTGTCCAAACCTCTGCATCCCGAAATGAATCATTCAACATTATTTGTATAATATCAAGACAACTGAAATGTTTTGAGAAAATAAGATGTTGTCATCCATTATAAGGAGATCAGGTCTCCTTGAAGTGAAGTCATCTGCCACTCGTACAACACATCTTGGCCTTAGTATTTCTGTATGAATGATCTTTCAATAGAGACACTTTCTATGAGGCAAGATCTCTTTTTTTCTATTATCATTGTTGAAATGGCTGAAGTACACCAATAAAAGTAACTTTAGGCAATATCTTTTGTTGTTTGGTATGTTTGAATGCTGCATTAGCTGATAAATCGAGAGATTATTTGTTATTAACTGACATCAGCTATATAAAATCGAATGCAAAATAGATAATCATAAACTGACAATACAATGTCAACGGTCTCTGGAAAGAGGTTTGGAAAGAGTGATAGTTATGTTCCGCGTCTGGGCCGTGGCGTCTTCCACTTGTTGACCTGAGCCACGCTGCAGTGGTGGCTCCACAGTCTTGAACACGATGCACTGGTGAACGATGAACTCCTGAGCACAGAGAAGGTCCTTGGTCTGGAAACACACAAACAGAGGAGCCTTGAAGGTGAAGGTTCTGAAGTCTATACAGAAAATCCTGGCAACCTGGAACACGCAGGAAAAGGATTGCTTGAAGAGACGATTCTGAAGATCCTAGCAGTTTGGAGGATCACTGAAGAAAAGGTTCTGAAGTCTGTACAGAAGATCCAGGCAACCTGGAACACGCAGAAGAAGGATGAGACGATTCTGAAGTTGTTGCAGAAGATGGGGGGTACTAAGCTTGTGGTCGTTGTTGCTGTGGCAGTTTCCCAAACTCCCCAAATTCACTCCTTGCTAGAGGTCGACCGATAGTGGATTTTGCCGATACCGATAGCTAGGTTGGACCACACTGGCCGATACCGATTAATTAACCGATTGTTTTAAAACTGATAAAATAGTGCTTTATTAACAAAACCAGTACTGAACCATACTAGTAGTAGTAGTAAAAATAATAATCATAATAGTAATAGTAAATGTTGAAATTAACACACTCTAACAAGGAACAATACTTACACAGCTTTCATTAATCTTAATGCTACAAATGGACTCTTATTTTAAAG